CGTGTATTCTTTGCACAAAGGCAGGCTGGTCTTTGACATCCCCCACATGTATATGCTGTCATTTTTCCACCCGCAAACATGGTACATGGTGGACCTGGTCATTGTTGGGATAGTCATGGGAGATCAGAGGAAGCCTAGGGTGGCTACATAGCACCCACTGTGTTGATTCAGGGATGGCTGGTCAGTAAGACCAGGAGGCAGTTCGGCATTACTGCCATGTAGGATTGACGTAGACCTGAGTCAGTGTCAGGTTAACATACCAGTATTCTTTCGTACTCTAACTGGTATAGTCGCGTCAGGTGATCAGTGGTTTGGCTAGCCAGTGAGCCAAAGCCACTTTGCTCAGTATCGGTTTGATGCGTCTGTGTGGTTAAGGTAGTGGTAGATGCAGGGTGGTACATGCCTGGCCAGGCACTACACCGAGCTGAAGCATATCAGCAGTCTCAGGAGATGCGACATCTAGGCATCAGGGAGCCGGTGCTTTAAAGTCTCATGCCCCATTGGGAGAGACCCCAGAGATGTTCTGGGAGTGGGATTCCTTGATTGATGAGGATCCCATATGTTGCAGATTTGGTGGATAGAGACTGTTCTGACTTCATTGCTGTGGGCAGCCTCAGACCCAGGAGCCAGATTCAGGGCTATTGCTCTGCAGGCTTTTAGCAGTGGTATATTGCACATGTGTGCTGGAGTTGGTTGGCATTGTGATCTTATTGGTTCTGCACATAGCCGGCAGTTCTGAGCATGTTACTAATTCTATATTGTATATCAGAGTGTTCCACTGTCATAGGACTCTCATGAGTGTTGGATACATGGGGTAGTATGAGGGCATGTTATGTGATTTCAACTCAAACATGATCAAGAGGAATATGACAGGAACAGCTGGTCGATTCCATGAGACAGAAGGTCATCCTCTTTTGAGTTGTACATCCCTACTTGTGTTCACTGCTAGGAGGATTGTGAGGATGGTAGCAGTGCGGGGATTTCATGATGCTCACATACCAGGTTATCAGTAGAAACCTGATCTATCTGCCTCCCGATTTTATCTCTAGGTAAGCTGACGGGACAGTTAGAGGCCCAAGAATTACCAGTGGGGGTGGTACGGCTCAATTCTCTAGTTGGAGAATGTGAGTACTCGGCTAGCAGTGAGCCATATAGACATCGCCGAGGACGGTCGATGCACCCCAGGGGGAAGTAGCTGGACATTGCTGGATGTAGCAGGGAGCCAGAGGACAGAGATAGCTTCCAGTCTCAGCATCCTCATCTTCAAGTACAGACATACAAGGTCAAAATCGGTGGATGGTTATAGAGGATGGCAGACCCGTTCACTTGCATGGTGTTTAGCAGTGACGGGTAGAGCTAGCACTGATGATCTATATTTGGTGTGTACTGTGGGCTGATGATTACTTGAGTGTATGAGGGATTTGGTGGATATTGGTCATACATACATTCTTGGATATAGAGGTTATCGACGGTCGCTGTGTATTCGTAAGAGGAAGTGCCTATCCCCCGGTCGTTAAAAATGGGGGCGCCCAGCGCATTGATCGCATTTCCTCCGGGCCCATAATAGGAGGTCGACCAAGAGCGCCCAGAGTACATTTTGCTGTATCGACGACTGTGTTGGAATCCAGGAATGATGACCCATATTAGATCAGTGGTGCTCTGTGATGTGGTTGGTTATTGAGGTAGAGGCCACTTGATCACACTCGAGGAGTCCTTTCTCGGTTGCAGTCAGCGGTTGAGATTGTACCTGTATCGAAATTGAGGCATATTGAGTTGGATTAGAGGAGATTGCTTTGATGACGGTCGGACATTATGGCTGTGTGGTTGATATTGAGATTGATGGTTGTGACATGAGGAGGCTCATATTTGCTCCCATGTTAACAATCATGGCCACATTTGGCTGGGCCCAGACCGGAAGACAGTCGGACAATGGCGCCATATGTCTGATTGAGAAATTTTTGAGGATACTGGATCATTTTCATAACATCCTATGGTGAGACTATCCCGGCTGAGGGCACAGACGGGAAGGAAGTGGACAAAATTTGTTGATTTTATCTGTCATTCTTTTATGAGCTCTGGATCCGGGAGAGAGGTAAAAACAAAAAAAATGAGCTACAGACACCTTTATTCTTTTGAGAGAGGAGTTGCGGCTATTCATTTTGTTTCCATGGTGTTGGGATTTTGTTGACTCAGTACAGTGGTGCATGATCTGTATATCATTGTCTTCAGATCTGAGTGGAGTTGAGTTTTATTCAGTCCTTGAGATGGGAGGCTTGGTGCTGGTAAGACTGATAGTGGTATGGGACACCGGATGTTGAGGCCAGACCGATGCTTTACTGATTGATGATACGTTTAGTGGATAAAATTCGGGATGCTCTGAATCGGCAGCAACACCGCAGGTGTATGCAGTGCGGAATGCTTTTCGTAACGACTTGATGTATTCGGATATAGGACATAGTATTATTTCATCTTTTCTGCTTTCAAGATGAACACGAGTGTACATCCGACATAGTGATGGGAGAGACCTGACTTGGAGAATTTTGAGATGAGCAACTGTTGCAGTGATACTGAAGAGGTCCCGATAGCAAGGAGGTCGGTTGATTTTCTTGTACACTGGAACATATCCCGAAATTTCGCAGAGGGACTAGACAGATGGTTAGTGGAGTATGCCTGAGGTGACACTAGCTTCACAGTTAGGTCAACCATTGGGCAGCCGATAGAGGACATTGATTTCGGTTTTGTTTTCGAGGGGGAAAACTCCCCCCAGGGGGAAGTATTGTTATGGAAACACATGGGGGTCGAGAGATTTATGACCATTAGTCTTGGTTGGCTAGTTATCTATGGGATTGGACCTATTATTTGGATTCTTTATGATCTCTAGATACTCGTAGGCTCTTTACTTGTCTAAATCCCCCAGTTGTGGAGTAGTTGGTGGCCTCGGGAAGTCCCTGTACTTAAGGGACAGCCCATGGGGGTAGACTGGGCTGCGATGTATCGATAGTGGGTCCGATATAGGGGTATGCCGGGCGATACAGCTGTGACACGCTGATGTACATTGTGTGGTGTCTGTGTGATGGGTGGTCAGGCCGGAATGTGGCCGACCACCAGTACGTACGCGGGGGTGCGTTGCTCCCCGCTCTGTTACCCGTTTGGCTCACTGCCGCGCTCCGCACGGGCCTCGCGGCCCGGGCAGCAAGTTGCCTTGCAACCCGCCGTCTTCGAATGGCAGGACCACCCGATCCCAGAGCGCAAGAGGGCCCACCGCGCAACAAACGAGCGAGCACCCCGATTACGCCCGCCGGGTTCGGCGGAGGGGGCCATCGGCCCAACCGGGTGCAGGCGGATGAAGTGGGGACACGCGCGACAAAAAGGGACCAGCGGAGGCCATTAAAAGAGCCCCGCAACACTGACTCACTAGCCTATGGGGAAATCACAAATGAAGGCCTTCCGACAAATTGGAAAGTTGGCATCCCTTCAGGATTTGGCCCTATGAGCCTAGGATTTATTTGCCTTGGTGTATTGGAATCCAATATTCATTTCACAATGGGGGCCCCACACTGCCATACCCCTCATGTTTCCAATTGTAGAATTCGCAGCATGCCATTGCATCCCAAATCACACTTTTGTGATGGTTAGTGCCAAAAATACACCAAATTAAGTTGCCTTTACAAAAACGACCAGCAATATCTGAGAACATAATATTAATTAATATATCAAATATTAATTTTGTTACAGTCCAAGCCGTGAGACCTAGTTGCAACATGGTTGTTTGGGGTTAGGCGTTATTGGCATTTTCTACTGTGGTGAGTAGTCATTACTTTAAATTGATTCTTTGGTGTTGGGAGCTCTTGATGTCCTTAGGCTTTTCAAATGCCCAAATCCGTTGAAAGTTATGGCCTTGTGAAGTTGTAGTACTTAGGGCTTTAGACAGAGGGGGCTGGTACTTAAGTCAATGGGAAACGGGTCAGTTGTCGGTGAACAAGAGGCAATGATGATGTGCCTGGATATGCACTTGAATTGTCTTGTTTTTGTGTGATCGTGATGGACCCACGATCAGGCATCGCACATGCGATAAGTGCCTGTGCATGTTGTGAATCCACATAACACCTTTGGCCCATTCTCTAGCCACCCGCGAGCCAGCAAACCACCACATCGCTGCGCTGCCACCTCTCGCCAATAGTAGGCTCTGGGGATCGATCCCCATCGAGCATTGGGCGCACCACGCGACTATTGAATCGACTGCCCCGGCTATGCCAACCGTCCAAGGTGGAGAGGTTGGCTGACCGCCAACAACCATGCTACAGGGTAGGGCGACCCCAACGCCTTCGGAAACCAACGGCCGCCGATGGGGCCGCGACATAGTGGTGACAGCCAAATATGGCAAAAATAATACAAATACCTATGGGAGGATTCTAGTTGAAGGGTGTTGGTGTAGCTCTATGGAGAGTGTCGAAACTGGTCCACCTTACCTTGAGATCAAGGATTGCCTATGGCAAATGGTTCTGCCAGTGGTTTTTCTAAGGAAACTCTAAAGTACTGGTATCCCGACCCACTAAAGACAAGAGCGTAATAGTTTTGGCGTAATTGAACAACCCATTGTCACAATGAATATCCAACACAAAGGAACTATGGCCAGGACGCAGCGTTACGAGGAAGATATTTTAAAATTCAAACTGACATTGCGTTGATTTACTAGCAGCCTTAAGCTGATGTAAAACTGACACTACCCGATATGCATCGATATGCAGCGGTCTGGATCGATATGAATCGACATGTACTGAGACATTTTCCTTGCCTTTGATCAAAGGAAAAATGGGTTAGTCCAGAAACTCGGGACCTGTGTTGGCTTGAGCCCATGGCGAATGGCCGCCCCTGCTCGCGCGGCGTGGCGCGCCTCCCGCCTCTCCCAACATGACGCCGGCCGCGTGGCCCGGCTGATCCCGTCCTTTGGCCCTCGGCGACTCGTCGCCGAGCCCCGCGGAAGGCGGTGTGGCGCGCTGATGGCCGGGGCGGGGCCGGCAGGCCGCGGGGCGTTCATCGTGTTCGAGGGATGCGACCGGTGCGGCAAGACCACCCAATCGAAAAAGCTCGTCGCCGCTCTGCGGGAAAATGGGGTGAGGAACTTCGTAGCAGGTCCTGAATTCGCCGCAAGTCCTCATTCCGCGCCAGGCCCCGCAGTCGGGCTAGAATCGTGCAGTGAGCATTGGCGAAGGAGGATTGGGCGAAGGGGGATAGCTCGATCGCGCAGTTGAGGGAATTGAGAACCCTATTGGCGACAATGGACATGGGGCGGGAATCGGGGATCGGGATGGCGCAATTGCGCAAGAACCAGTCGCCGTATCTCGACGACGAGATTTTTGGAGGTGCATGTCTTGGCCACCGGGCCTTGATCTGTTGCCGCTAGATCTACGTACACGGCGTCGATGCGGTTGTCTGCTGCGACCTTCGCGGGGATTTCCTGCTGAAACGCTCATTGCTGTAAGAAAGGAAACATTCAGGAAATGGGTTCTCGGATTGTCGACCAACTTAAAGATCCATGTGCACAGAACCTTATCCCGCACTGGTATTCACTGTACGCTGATTAATAATGGCAACAACAACTCCGTACTTCACCTGTTCACAGATGGACAAACATGCCAGGCACATGGGCGATCTGCTGCTGTTGAGGCAGAAAATGTCAATGAGACCCTGTCTCTGCCAAATGCTGATGTTCAAGCCTTGTTCTCCCATTTCTCTTAATGCATACCCCATTGGATGCGCAGGTTTGTGGATCACCTGCCAAAGTTGAGTGGTTTCCATGGTCGGCGGCCACTCAGGGTGCCTACTCCATGACATTCTTGTCCATCCATGAACAGGTGGAGTGTGTTGCCAAAAGAGCATGTGTAATCGGGTACATGGGGTGTTAGCTCTAGAAATGCTATGACTTCAGTATCCGTATCAAGCTGGAAGAACTCCAACCAGGCCACAATGCACAAATCCATTCTCTGCATGGTCCACTGTTGTCCACCCACACCTGCAAAACATAAGAACAGGAGAGACCCTCATACGTGGAGAATTGGCTCTACCAGTGGAGACAAACATTTTGGTACATAACTTTTGGACGATGAAAATAAGGACAAACAGGAATAAGATCGGTGGTGTGGTTAAATCACGCTTAACGATCGGGATGTGATCGGCCGACACATCTGCTTGTGGCGATCGTTGTGACGATCGCAATCGCCGCCCTGCAGGTGCTCGCAGAGTGGTGCAGCTTCCCTGACCGAAGCACTGGTGTGGGGCAGCTCATCGATTCGTACTTGGCGGGTGCGCAGAACTCTGAGGACGATGTGATCCACCTGCTGTTTGCGGCAAACCGCCTGGAGAAGAGGCGAGTGATCCTTGACATCTGAATACAAAAGGGAATGAATACAAAGAAGTACATAGCAAACAAGTAGAAGAAATAATAGCAGGATGAGTGAGAACATATGAATACGCATAGGAGCAGCAAAGGACAGCAATGAAACACTCTACACTCTTGGGAGCCGGGATGGTCTACCACTGCAGAAGAGATGGGCAGTTTTTGTTTACCAGATGACCCTGAGGGCCAAAACTGCTGATGGGCATTGTGTCTCTGCCCTCTGGTCGTAATTCTCCAAATCTGTCCACAAGCTGGAGTGTCCAACATTTAATGGGGTCAATATGATCCAAGGGAAGCGCTGAAAAGGAAAAGATCATGAAGAGAGGCTGCAAAATAGAGGGAAAAGAAAGTGGGAGAGGTGAATCATATGCCACATTGGGAAAAAACAACAGCATGTGCACACTCCCATGCTATGAATGGTGAGGTAAAACCCTCTGATGGATGGAAAGTGACAAGATGGACCACCTGGTGAGCAAGAGGTGAGTTATGCATGATACCTGAAACATGAAACAATGTGCACCAACTTCCACAACATGAGAATGCAAAGGTTTCTGAACGCTTGAGAAGGGAGCAACCCAACAAAAATGAGTTTGTGTCCATTTCATCATGACAGGATCACAGTAAAACACAATCATGTTTAGGGTTGCTCCTATGTCCCAAGAGCCCACAGCAGATCCCACCTTGTTGGCAAGATCCCACAGCATTGTGATTTGTCGTGCTGTGGAACATACAGACACTGTTGACTCACTTCTGCACTCCTCGATTCGATGCCTAATTGTTAACCAAGAGGATCCCAACTGCATAGCATTCTGGTGATGCTGCTTTTTTCCCTTTGAACATCTGGCCTGTTCTTTTGTGTGAATGGCAGACACCCAACAGAATGTTAGGAGAAGCGGTATCCTGACAACGTGACAAAAGCTGACAGAAACTCTGGACAGGCTTTGTTTCAGTTAGAGGCTGATCGGCACAAGGGAGTCCAACACAATGGTGCTGTTGGGCCACTTCAAATTTCCCTGTGGTGAAATCTTTGGAATGAAAAGTATCCACAGCTTGCAAAGTTTGGCTGCTGGCAATGCTTGTGTTATTACTTGGGGTGGCTAATCTGTCTGGGGCGTCAATTGCTCAGGCAAGAGTTGATCGTGAAGTTGCAGGGCGGCACAACGCTGGTGTGTGACCGTTATGCCTATTCTGGCGCAGCCTTTACATTGGCAAAGGGCTCCCCTGGGCTGGACCTGGCCTGGTGCAAGAGCGTGGAACATGGCTTGCTGCCAGCGCCCGATGTCGTCTTCTTCCTGAAGGCTCCTGCAGATGTGGCGGCAGGGAGGGGGGGCTTTGGGAATGAGAGGTATGAGGTGCTCGAATTCCAGAAGAAGGTGAGAACAGCTGCTTTCTGGTTGTTACTTCAATGTTGACATCAGTGTTGTCAAGCAGTGGTTGGATATGAGAAATGTGGCATCCTTTGTTTTGTCCTGTTATGTATCTTGTACAGGTTTAAAAAACTTGCAAGCAGCTGCCTGCAAGTTGCGTCCATGGCATAAGTCTTTTCTTTCTGGTCAAGTAGCTGTGTTTGTGCTTTGGGATTGGGCGTCGATCTTGTGCCAATCTACAGTCTAGCAAGCACTCAAGAGGTAAATAAGCTTCAGAAGGACATTCCAAATAGTGGGTTGACTATACAGCTGTCGTGTATCAAGCACAGAACACAATTTGATCATATTGTGCCAGACCATGCTGTGGAGGTGGGAAAGTGTTGTTGCATTGACATTTTCATGAAGTGTAAAGGCTTTTAGTGTGTAAATACTTTTATACAGGTGTAAATGGATTTACTTAAATCTGTGTTGTTACTACATGTATCAGTTGGTGGCTAACTTTGGCCCCGGCTCTTGCATCCACATGCTTAACACTGGTGCGCCTGCAGATGTTCCAAACTACGCTGACCATAAACTTCCAAAAGGTGCATTCTTTTTCATCACGGAATTGTTCCTGCAACGTTCCCATTTGTTTCACAACTTGCCCATGACCTGTTTGCAGGTTGCTGACTGGTATATGCGGTTAAGCAAAACGGAAGGCTGGACTGAACTAGACGCAACGAAGTCAATAGATGCCGTCCACGAGGAGGTGCGTAGACTGACCAATCGAAAGGGGGGGAGGGGGCCAGGACTGTTGAAGAACTGTCTAGACTGTCCAACTGCTCTTTGGGAAATTAGCACAGGCCTTAGTGCTTTAGAATACTGAATTGTGCAACCAAGTGCACACAAACAACTCGCTTGGCGTCTTTTCGGGTGTGTACCGACTGTCATCGACATATTTTTTTGGATTCAGCTCACAAGAGCTTTGCCAGACATCGCCCTGGCAACACCTGGCGGTGCCAGAACGGCTTTGTTGAGGCTTTGCGAATATTGGTCAAAAGGAAGGCTTTTGTATGGAGCAACCATTATCGGTGAAGCTTTGCACACGGTGGCACTGCATGCAACGCTCTGGCAATTTCGCAGACGTGAAATTCGCAAACAGCGGACCTTCTGGCGGTATCTTCTTGAAGCTTCCAGAGTTAGCATGGCATCTCCGTGTTTGTGTTAGCAAAACTTGATGGACAACGTTGCCGTTTCTTTGAAACCATGGACCATTTTTGGTGCTTTGCAGATCTTGAAAGCCACTGCTCAGGCGGTGGATGCTTGCAAGAGCGGGCGTC